ACAGTCGCAGAATCTGAGGGAAAATTTTTATAAAATGTTTTATAGATGGCATTTAGATCCTAAAAAGTTGTCATGTATGTACCCTAATGTTCAGCCAAAATGTTGGAGATGTGAATGTTTGGATGCTACGTATTATCATGTTTGGTGGACCTGTAGGAAAGTTAAGGCTTTTTGGATAAAAATTTGGTGGGTCATGCAGAATGTATTGAAGAAAAAAATTCAATTTTCTCCACAACTGTTTTTATTGGGCATAGTTAAGGGTTTTACATTGGGTGAAACAAAGTTGATATTGTATATGATAACAGCAGCAAGATTGTTGATAGGTAAATATTGGAAGAATGAAGTTTTGCCTACTATCGAGGAATGGACTTCGAAGATGGCCAATTTTGCAGAGATGGCGAAGATTTCAGCATATTTAAAAGATTGCTCACAAGAGACTTATGAATGGGAATGGAAAAGGTGGATAGAATATGTTCAGAACAAATATCAAATTAGAAAGTATCAAATAGCTTTTATTTGAAAACAATGTATTAGAAATATCTTAATGTAAAGAGACAAAGAGGGAAAATTATATAGGGGGAGGGATGGGTTCAGGTATATATATTAGTGTTATTAGTTATGAGTACATAATAGGGAAGTCCGGGGGGGGGGGGGTTAGGGAGGGGTAGGGAGGACGGGAAGTTTGGGGAGGGAGGGGGGGGGGTGAAAAAAAAAGGGTGAAAATGTAATTGTAAAACTTTTGCAATAATAAAGAATCATAAGGTACAGCATTTAATGATAATCATAGGCAACAAATAAGCAATCAAATCATATTAGGAAACAATCAATATAAATCGTAAGGATACCAGCAACAAGGTTACAGTCATACAGTCATAAGTGGGAGGAGATGGGTGATAGGAATGATGAGAAGATTAATAGTAACGCAGACTTAGTAAATAGTTTGACAGTGTTGAGGGAATTATTTGTTTAGCAGAGTGATGGCGTTCGGGAAAAAAACTGTTCTTGTGTCTAGTTGTTCTGGTGTGCAGTGCTCTATAGCATCGTTTTCATATATATATAATATAATATATAATTAATAATTATAATTATATATAATTAATATATAAGAAGTTCTTTCTTTCTTTCTTTCTTTCTTTCTTTCTTTCTTTCTTTCTTTCTTTCTTTCTTTCTTTCTTTCTTTCATGGTGTAGATGCTGCCAGCTTTCTGCATCCCTTCAGTGTTTACCTTTCCTGGTTTATGGCTAATTGCTTTGCTTCTTTCTCTCTGAACATTTGGAATCCATTTTTCTACCATTTGTAGAAAAACCTTCCTAATTCCAGGTCACCCCAATTATAAAATGTATTTTTCTAATCGTCCAGGCAGGCCTGAAGTACATTCACAAGCCCCTCTGGCACCACCACATGCTCTTCATGTCAAGTGCTCCAGCAGCCCATTCTGCTGCCAGGGATCAAGAAGGCCTGCAGCTGCCATGGTGCCCTTATATTAATTATATGTTGAAATAGCAGGAGATAAAATACCTGTAAAAAATCAGACTTAGATAAGTGGTTTCTCAAGACAATGCATTGCCTAAAAACCAACGTTCAATATATGAGAAAGGCTTAGAAAAGACGCACACAGTATTCTCTTTTCTGCACCTTCATTTCAACGTAAATAAAGATCTGCAATCTCCATCCCTGCCCCAACTTCACACACCACCACCACCCCTCGTGTAAAGTAGTAGTTTGAGGCAAGAATGGGTGGGTTTGATTGGCCAAATTTTTATAGGCATGGAGATTGATCAGATTTGCAGAGTCCTTCATAGCCTTTCCATTTTTTTCCTTAGCTTCTTATTTCTCTCTTATTATTCTTCTGACTCTTCAAATGCATACATTAACATGATTACTTCCTTCCGAATTGGAAGGATACCTTTAGCATTACCACTGTAACTTGCATGCAACCCAACTCCCAATGACTTTGAATGGTTCACAACAATCAAAGAAATTACAAAAAAATCCATTCTAGAAAGCAGGCACCAGTGGTGGGTTGCCCCCGGTTCAGACCGGTTCTATAGAACTGGAAGTAAAACCAGAGGGAGGCTCCGCCCACCCACCCTGATGTCATCAAAACTCAAGAGCGCGAGCACGTGCAAGTGAAGCAAGCACGCGCAAGTGAAGCGAGCACATGCGCATGGCCCCATTGCGAACCGGTAGTAAAGGTAAGTCAAACCCACCCCTGGCAGGCACTACTATAGAGAAGGCATACTTACAGCGTCCTGATAGATGACATTGCTTAAGTGGAGGAACCAATAGCATGCCAATCCTGCTGGACTGAATCAGACAATTTGGGGGGGGTGTTTCCCTCAAATAATCAGACCCTATGAAATATAGGATTTCACAGATAACAACCAGAATCTTGAACCAGATCCAGAAGCAAACAGACAATCAGTGTAGTTTGCAAAGCAGAAGTGGTACATGGGCATAAGAAGGCATGCCCATTACTGCTTACAATGCTGCATTCTAGACCAGTTGAAACTTCTGGGTGATCGTCAATGGGATTCCTATGTAGATCGCATTGAAGTAGTCAAGCCACAATGTGTCTAGGATATTAGTGACACATTTTCCAGAATCTAATTTTGTTGACCTTGAACTAGGAACGATGAGCAGTTAGTCCTGGAAATTGTAACAGTTCTTGAAATGAAAAAGAAATACTGGGGAACACAAATAAAGAATATGCTCATGAAATGAGCTGCAATTGGAAATATTATACATTTCTTGGTTCCCCTCATCAATAGATGATATCCCTACCATGAGATTTAGATATATTGTATAATAGAGATGAAGAAGAACAAAAAATGACATTTTGCATGGCTCAGCTCTTCTTTTTCAGCATATCAATTTGGAAGCAATAAATACTTTATAAGAAGCAAAAGTATCTCATTTAACAGTTGGCTCCTATAACTATCTGGTTGTTTCTCCATTTAAAACAGCAGCTTTGCATTTCTACTTCCAGGAGTTAATATATAAGAATGAGTGAGCCATAATAGATAAAAATTTTTGCTTAAATACATTGAAACAAAGCAATACTGTCAACGTATTTTGTGTTCCCTGATGCATTCCTTTTATTTTATATTACAGCGCTGAGGTTAAAATCAATGTCTTCTGATTTATTTCAGAACAATACCCAGAGACATGATAAAGAGATTAACAACATGCCATCAACATCACTTTTACCAATTACCACATGAAAAATGAGGAAAGGAATTCAGAAAAGAAAAACCAAGAGCAAAACCTCAGCAACCTATAAATCAAAGATAAAACCTACTTTAGCAAACACTGTTATGAAAATTGGCTCCACTGTTGTTTAATTTTACATACAGTAGTAGTAGTAGTAGTTATGTATATACTGCAGTATATATTTGTAGGTTGTTATGGGGTGAGATTTGGACTACTTCAGATAAAGTAACTCTCCATTAATTATCTCTGAGTAAAGTGCCAGATCATATGACATTAGCCTGATGGGACTATATGTCAGTCTAATGTCAGGTAGATTACTTCTTTTGAAAAGGATAAGCTCACAGAGGTACTAATACTTTAGATCAGGGATCTCCAAACTTGGCAACTTAAACACTTGTGGAGTTCAACTCCCAGAATCCCTCAACCAGCCTGGTTGAGGAATTCTGGGAATTGAAGTCCGCGAGTCTTAAAGTTTAGATCAGGGCTGTCAAACTCCATGGGCCGGATGCGTCATGCGCTGGCCACACCCATGCCCGGTTTAGTGAAGGGGGGAAGTCCCACTATGTCACGTGATGCTACCGTGAATTTGACACCCTTGGTTTAGATCAACTGAATTGTCAGTCAAGTGTTTAAACCAGCTGAGCTATTGCAACAGGAGTTTAGTTTGCCTAAAACTGGGGAATTATAGTGTATCCAATTAAAACAACTTTTGATTTCACAATTAGGTCCAGATGCTTTAGCAGCCTGTAAAATTGCCAAAGTACTAGGAATATTGAAATGTGTTTTGGATTATTCTAAACCGGCAGTATTTTTAAATGGACAATTAAAGAGTTTTGCTAAGATGGATAGTGTTATTTGTAAGAACTGTTGAATAAAGAATTGGAGTACCTTATATTAATAAATCAGTGCTTAAGAGTCTTAAGTATATTTTTTATGATTTCAGAACAGACTCTTTCAGTAAAATTGTTTTCAGGCTTTCTGGAGTTGTCAAAGTGTTTTTTTAAAAAAATATTTTTAGCTTTGTTTTCCTGTAAGTATAAAACAATAGCAGTGTCATTTTCACATATAATATTTGCATGAGTTTACCCCATTATGATCCAGTGTTGGTTTAATATATACAAGTTAATCAATATAGTGCAGAGGAAGTAATGTGATTTAAAATGTGAATTAGATACCAAAAATATGGAATTTGTTCTTATATAAAGCACTGTGAATCTACTACATAAATGGCATAGCAAAAGTATTCATTTATTTAAAATGGACAGATGGACAATGGCATCACTGACTTAACAAGGTTATATTGAAGAACTGTGCTTGCTTTTTGCTTATGAACTGATTCTTTTTCAATATAATGGAAAGTCCAATCAATATTTTTTAGGGGTGTCAAGGTGTACTGTTATATTTAACAACTTAGACATTTTGATATGTATCTAAATTCTTGTTTTCCTTTGTACCTTTTTTCCTTTTTTTCTATACTAAGCCAATAACTATAAAATGTAGTTTTTCTTGTTCTGGCACTTTGTAAGCCACATATATTAACAAATCTTGCTTTAGTGTGGTTTGATGATCCAGAGCTGTGCTTATACTATAGACAAAGTATTCAGGACACAGTTCAAACAGGCACCCATCAAAGTCAAGAGGTTCTTGTAGAAGTTTGATCTCTCTCTCTCTCTCTCTCTCTCTCTCTCTCTCTCTCTCTCTCTCTTCTTTCTCTCTCCCCTTCCCTCCCTCCCTCCCTCCCTCCCTCCCTCCCTCCACAGAGACAGGTGGGGGAGAATCTAACCTTTAAACAAAGAGAATGCATTGTTCCTCCTACAGCTACTGAATTATGGCTCTTCAGGTTTGCTCTGGCAGCTTAGGAACTGGGTGTGGAGTAGGTTCCAGCACCATGGATAAGGTGAGTTCCACTGTGTGAATAGCAGCCCTCGATTTAGCCAAATTTATGTTAACCAATGCACCAATAATTATTTACCTGTCATTTGACTTACCTATTTTTTCCTGTGATATCCGATTTTTTGTTCTATAGAGTATTACTGGACAACATAGTTGGGTTAGTTTGTTGCTCTTCAGTTGTTCCAAAACACTATCCAATCAAATAGTTAAAGTGATCTCTATTTCATAGTTAGCTTATTGTAGTTTTTTCAACAGATTTAGAGACCCTCTGGGCAATTTACCATTAAGAAAAGTAAAATACAGTACCAATAAGAAACAGATCATAGGCATCCAGAAGGCAAAACTGTTATATAACAACTATTTCAACTACCACTTTGCCCAAGGACCAGGGAGAACAGCCAAGTTTTCAGTGACTTCTGAACATCACAGTGCACATAACATTTATCTCCCCTAAATTGTTAAAGACAGAAAAAGATAAATGATATGACTGCAGTTTTGCAGATAAAATGTGAAGAAAATACAGTATATCAATTTGCTGGGTTTTGGCTACAGAGTGGGGAATGAATACTAATAATCCAGTGTGGGTTTTGTGGGGAAAATAGGGGAAGGAAGGAGTGTTGGGTACGTTTGCTGCCTTGAACTGACCAAGTATATATATTTAAAAGGTGGCATTAAAATATTTAAATATATTATAGATAAGGGCAAAATATGCCATTCTCTTTTTGCATTTCCTCATCATGTTCTGTTGCGTTATCATTTCTTTCCCTATATAGTAACTGCCTAAATTACCAGGGCTCACGAGGCTCCTTTGCCAAATTTTTAACACTCTTGTCTTATTTATTTATTTATTTATTTATTTATTTATTTATTTAATTGATTTGATTTGATTTGATTTGATTTTTATACTGCCCTTCTCCAACAGGACTCAGGGCGGTGAACAGCCGAGATAAAACATAACATATAAAATTTAAAAAACAGTTTAAAAGACATTAAATAATTTCGGCCCACAATTTAAAACAACCCAGTTAAAACCAATTTAAATTAAAACTGAAGGATGGGATCAAGCCAGCCCGGCTAGATGAAATAAATGAGTTTTCAGGGCCCGACGAAAAGTCCGGAGGTCTGGTATCGTGTGTATCTCTAAGTCGTTCCAGAGGGCAGGTGGCGCCACAGAGAAGGCTCTCCCCCTGGAGGTCACCAGCCGACATTGTCTGGCTGACGGCACCCTGAGGAGGCCCCCTCTGTGCGAGCGTACTGGCCCGTGGGAGGCTTAGAGCGGCCACATGTTTATTGGACCCGTGTCCCTCCTGGTTGGTACTGGCCTCCCGGGAGGTTACACGAGGCTGGCTTCAGGGGATTATCAATGCTTCTCTGAGTGAGGATAGCTTCCCCACCGCCTTGAAGGAGGCGGTGGTGAGGTCCCTCCTTAAGAAGCCTTCCCTGGACCTGGCTGTATTAGCAAATTATTGTCCTGTCTCCAACCTTCACTTTGTGGCGAAGGTTGTTGAGAGTGTGGTGGCGCGACAGTTTCCCCAGTTCCTGGAGGAAACGGTTTATCTAGATCCGTTCCAGTCGTGTTTCAGGCCTGGGCACAGCATGGAAACGTCATTGGTCACGTTGGTGGATGATCTCTGGAGGGCTCAGGACAGGGATTGTTCCTCTGCCCTGGTCCTATTAGATCTCTCGGTGGCTTTTGATACCATCGACCATGGTATCATGCTGCGCCGACTGGAGGGGTTGGGGATAGGGGGCACCGTGTTGCGGTGGTTCTCCTCCTTCCTCTCTGACTGGTCACAGTTTGTGTTGACAGGGGGGCAGAGATCAACCTCGAGGCACCTTGTGTGTGGGGTGCCGCAAGGGTCAGTTCTCTCACCCCTTCTGTTCAACATTTATGTGAAGCTGCTGGGTGAGATCATCCGTGGTTTCGGGGTGAAGTGTTATCTGTACGCTCATGATACACAGCTGTACATCTCCACCCTGGACCACCCCAACGATGCCGTTGATGTGATATCCTGGTGCCTGGAGGCCGTGTGGATCTGGATGGGGAGAAACAGGCTCAGGCTCAACCCGTCCAAGACCAAGTGGCTGTGGCTTCTGGCATCCCGAAATAGTCAGTTGGTACCATCGCTGACTTTTGGGGCGAGTCGTTGGCCCCCACAAAGAGGGCTTGCAACTTGGGTGTCCTCCTGGATACATGGCTGTGTTTGGAAGAGCATATGACGGCTGTGGCCAGGGGGGCTTTTTATCAGGTTCGCCTGATCCACCAGTTGCGTCCCTTTCTGGATCAGAATGCCTTATGCACAGTCACTCATGCCCTCGTAATGTCCCGCTTGGACTACTGTAATGCTCTCTACATGGGGCTCCCCTTGAGGAACACTCGGAGGCTCCAACTGGTCCAGAATGAGGCCGTGCGGGTGGTGATGGGGGTGACTCGGCGCTTCCATGTAATACCTCTCCTGCGTGAGCTGCACTGGCTCCCAGTGGTCTTCTGGGTGAGGTATTGGTTACCACCTTTAGAGCGCTCCATGGCTTAGGGTCTGGGTATTTACAAAACCGCCTTCTGCCGCCAGTAGCCTCCCACCGACCAGTACGCTCCCACAGAGAGGGGTTCCTCAGGGATCCATCAGCCAAACAATGTCAGCTGGCGGCCCCCAGGGGGAGAGCCTTCTCTGTGGGGGCACTGACCTTCTGGAACGAGTTGCCCCCAGAGATACGGCGGATCCCAGATCTGCGCACTTTCCGCTGTGCCTTAAAATGTTTTTGTTTCATCAAGCTGGGCTGACCTGACCATATTTTTTAAGTTGCTTTAATTTTAAATTGCTAAATTATGGATTTTTTAATATGGGGGTGTTTTAATTGTGGGGCAAATTAATTTAATTGGTTTTTAATATTGTTTTAATTTTTGTATTTTCTGTATTTTATCTGCTGGCTGTTCACCACCCTGAGTCCTTCAGGAGAAGGGCGGTATACAAAATAAATAAATAAATAAATAAATAAATAAATAAATAAATAAATAAATAAATAAATATAATAATAATAATAATAATAATAATAATAATAATAATAATAATAATGGCAGCAGAAGGCCGTCTCGTAGATACCCCGGCCCTAAGCCATGGAGCACTTTAAAAGTGGTCACCAACACCTTGAAACGCACCCGGAAGGCCACTGGAAGCCAGTGCAGCTCGCGCAGGAGAGGTGTCACATGGGAGTGCCCCGTTGCTCCCACAATCCCCCGCGCGGCCACATTCTGGACCAATTGGAGCCTCCGGGTGCACCCCAAGGGGAGCCCCATGTAGAGAGCATTGCAGTAGTCCAGGTGGGAAGTGACGAGTGCCTGAGTGACCGTGCGTAGGGAGTCCCGATCCAGAAAGGGACGCAACTGGCATATCAGGCGAACCTGATAAAAAGCCCCCCTGGCCACGGCCATCATATGCTCTTCTAAAGACAGCCGTGCATCCAGGAGGATGCCCAAGTTGCAAGCCCTCTCTGTGGGGGCCAGTGATTCGCCTCCAATAACCAGCGATGGCACCAGCTGGCTACATCGGGACGCAGAAAGCCACAGCCACTCGGTCTTGGAAGAGTTGAGTTGGAGCCTGTTTCTCCCCATCCAGGCCCGCACGGCCTCCAGGCACCGGGACATCACTTCAAGGTCATCGTTGGGATGGCCTGGGATGGAGATGTACAGCTGGGTGTCATCAGCGTACTGATGGAACTCTACCCCAAAGCCACGGATGATCTCACCCAGCGGCTTTACATAAATGTTGAACAGAAGGGGCGAGAGGACCGACCCTTGCGGCACCGCACAAACAAGGTGCCTCGGGGTCGACCGCTGCCCCCCTGCCAACACAGATTGTGACCGGTCAGAGAGGTAGGAGGAGAACCACTGCAAAACAGTGCCCCCACCCCCAACCCCTCCAACCGGTGCAACATGATACCATGGTCGATGGTATCAAAGCCGCTGAGAGATCTAACAGGACCAGGATAGAGGAGCAGCCCCTATCCCGAGCCCTCCAGAGATCATCCACCAAAGCGACCAATGCCGTTTCTGTGCTGTGCCCAGGTCTGAAGCCGGACTGGAGCAGATCTAGATAGACAGCTTCATCCAGGTACTGTGGAAGCTGCCGCGCCACTACACTCTCAACAACCTTCGCAATAAAACGAAGGTTGGAGACTGGACGATAGTTAGCCAAAACAGCTGGATCCAGAGAGGGCTTCTTGAGGAGGGGCCTCACCACCGCTTCTTTCAAGGCGGCCGGCAGGACACCCTCACTCAAAGAAGCGTTAATAATCCTCTGGAGCCAGCTTCGTGTCACCTCCGGGAAGCCAGCACCAACCAGGAGGGACACGGGTCCAATAAACACGTGGTCGCGTTCAGCCATCCCAGAATCCTGTCCATGTCCTCAGGAGCCACAGGATCAAACTCTTCCCAGATAACACTCTCAAGACCTGCCTCAATCATCCCGTCTGGACTTACCCAGTCAGAGGCCAGGTCTTCCCCAATCTGAGCGATCTCATCATACAGATACTGCACAAAATCCTCAGCTCGACCCTGCAAGGGATCATCCCGCGCTTCCATATGGAGGAGGGAGCGGGTCACCCTAAACAGGGCGGCTGGGCAGTTATCTGATGACACAATAAGAGCGGCAAAATAGCTAGATTTTGCCGCTTTTATCACCACTAAGTAGGTCTTAATATGAGACATCACCAGTGTTTGGTCGGATTTGGAACGGCTGGTCCTCCAACCGCTCTCCAGGCGTCTTTTCTGGTGCTTCATCTCCCTCAGCTCCTCAGAGAACCAAGGAGCTAGGTGAGTTCGGTGCCGGGTCAGAGGCCGCAAAGGCACGACACGGTCCAAAGCCCTGGCGGCCGCACTGTTCCAGGCAGCCACCAAGTCTTCAGCCGAGTCATGAGCCAGAGTCTCAGGAAATGGCCCAAGCTCCATCTGGAACCTATCAGGATCCATCAGGCACCTGGGGCGGAACCACCTAGTCGGTCCCGCCTCCTGCGGTGGGGTGTAGCGGTTAGAAAGTCAAGTCGAAGGAGCAAGTGGTCAGATCATGACAAGGGTTCGATGGCTATATCCCCTGTATCAAGGCCACTCGACCACTGACCACTAAAAACTAAGTCCAGAGTGTGCCCGCCCGTGTGAGTAGGGCCATGAATTAACTGAGTCAAGTCCATAGCCATCATGGAAGCCATGAACTCCTGAGCCACCTCAGACATTTCACCGATGGATGGCCGGTTGAAATCCCCCATGACCAAAAATCTGGGGGTATCAACCATCACCTCGGCTATGATTTATCCCTGCTTAATCCTCTAATTTGACCCTGGTAAACACAACAAGACTGTATGCACCTGTGCCTGAAACAGCTGCACACTTTGAAAATGCAATGCAGTTGGAATAGTTTTGCTGCCTGTTGTAAGATGACAGTATATTGTTACGCATGCCTGTCTGTAAATTTTAAAAAGCAAAATGACAAGAGATAATAGGTCTCGAGTGATTGCTCTTCCAGTAGAAAGCCATAAGAAGGAGGAATGAAATGAGATTAACAATGTTATTGCTTGCAGCTGATTACAGACACAGTTGTACCTTGGCAAAAAAAAAAAAGAAAAGAAAAGAAAAGAGTTTTGCAAAAAGATCTAAACTGCACACCTGGAGGATAAATGGCCAGGGTATTGAATAAGTGAAATCTTTTAAATATTTGGGCATGGTTCTCCACAGCTCCACCAAAGGCATTGTGCACCAAAATTATATCATACAAACTGCTGGGGGGAAAAACATGACCACAATTCAAGCTTTTCACTTCACCAAAGGAGCAGTGTTGAAGCTACATTCAGGCTGGTGAAGAACTACTTTTGATGCCCAGCTAGGACCTTACATTTCCTTTACTCCTCATGAAAGGATCCAGTCTAAAGTCCTATATTCCAGGCAGTCCCTTGCACTCCAAATGCAGTATTTTGGAGAAAGGCAGGGTGTCTAACGTTGAAATGGGGCATTTTTATGCTTAATATTATTATTATATTATTATTAAAAGATACGTTAAGAGGGAAAAATGAATAAGTTTACTATGTTCAACTGCTTAATATATTATAATTGTAAGACTAGAGAATTAATATCAATGTAGTGAATGATGTTGTAAATTCTGATGGTTATTGCACAGAAATATTTGTACCCAGAAGACATACTGTTTAAGAGAAGATAGAATATTTGTATTTTTTTAAAAAAATAAAAACTTTTAAAAAAAATAAAGTTGAAATGGGCTCATGGACTTGTAGCATAACACACTGGTGAAATTTTCTTCCCACAGCTTTGAGTTCTTTCCTTATTGAGTTCAACCACAACCCATATGGGTCAGGACAACTTCACAAAACCTTCAACATCTCGACTTTCCCAAGGAGGTGTTGCTAATGATGGGTTATGGGTGTGTCCTCATCTCATTTGAACAACATATCAAAGACCTAGAAGGCCAACAGGATCAATCTGCTCTATCTAAGGTTGTTTTTTTTTTTTGTTTATTTGAGCAGTCAAGCCCCTTTTTACAAGCCAGTGAGATACTTACACCACATGACAGTTTCCAAAGTCCAAAGAGCATTAACTTTAGCAGGCCTCAATGCTCTCCTCATAGCACTTTTGGATGGCCAATACATAAAATTCTCCAATGAGCTGAGTCTGTGCCCCTGTGAACAAGAAGCTGTTGAAACTACAGTTCAAGCAAGGGATGAAATCCAGCAGGTTCTGACAGGTTCTGGAGAACCAGTAGCGGAAATTTTGAGTAGTTCAGAGCACCAGCAAATACCATCTCTGGCTGGCCACAGAGTGGGGAGGGAATGGAGATTTTGCAATATCCTTCCCCCAGGAGTGGGGAGGAATGGAGATTTTGCAATATCCTTCCCCCAGGAGAGGGGAGGGAATGGAGATTTTGCAATATCCTTCTCCCAGGAGTGGGGAGGGAATGGGGATTTTGTAATATCCTTCCCCCAGGAGTGGGGAGAGAATGGGGATTTTGTAATATCCTTCCCCCAGGAGAGGGGAGGGAATGGGATTTTGCAGTATTCTTCTCCTGGAATGGGGTGGGAATGGAGATTTTGCAGTATTCTCCTCCTGCCATGCCCACCAGCCACACCCACCAAGCCACAACACACCCACCAAGCCACACCCACAGAACTGGTAGTAAAAAAATTTGGATTTCACCACTGGTTCAAGTCCTGATATACTGTACTGTCTATAACAGGGGTCCCCAACCACCGGGCCATGGGCCACTACTGTGGCCTATTCAGTACATGGCCATGTGAAAGGTGGGCTGGCGCACATGTGAACCTTTCAGAGAATAAATTGCAGAGAAGGAAGAGCGTGCATGGTCCGGCATTGCATTTTCTCCTTTGAATCGCCCAGAGGCCGCCCTAATGCATTTGAATTTGCAGAAATTTGAACAGCAGTTTATAGATTCTAAGAAATGTCTTAGATACACAAGAAAAGGGGAAGAAAAGAAAAGTGAAGGGAGGGAGGGAAGAAGGAAGGAAGGAAGGAAGGAAGGAAGGAAGGAAGGAAGGAGGGAAGGAAGGAAGGAAGGAAGGAAGGAAGGAAGGAAGGAATTGTGTGCTGCCTTCTGCATTTTATTATCAAAATAACTTTTTTTATAGAGGCCACCTTAGCTACTTCATATAGCCTTGCCCATTTGATTACTCTTTATTTACTGTTTACTGATTTACTGAGTTACTCACTTGGTTAGTTCCTATTTTTCCAGGTTGCTCAACTCCTACAAGCCACCTGATGGTTTAAAACATGCAGCAGAACACCACAAATACAATGAAAACCATATACAGCACAGTAAACCATAAGATGGTATTCTCCCTGCAGCCACAACCTTTACTAGCTAAAGCTCTGTGAAACCAAGGTGCAGAACTTTCTTCTGGTTATTGGAAATGTCATTGGTGGTCTTGGAGTAAGAAAAACCAGCCAGTTTAGAAGGCTGTTTGGCTTCTCTTATGCCAATGAAACACTTCTCCTAAACCTGCAGTGCATTCGACCTGCTGCTTCAGTACGAAACATATTAGATTTAATAACATTGCAAAGCTAATGACTTGGCATCTTTTGTAACTACCCTGCACAGCCTTAAAGTTTTATGGAGATTAGGAAGTTGCACAGGAATTATTTAATATGCTATATTGAATATATTCAGCTTAATATACCAGAGCTTCCGGGGTTACATAAGATCTGGCTTATATAACTTTCACGTTATGCAAATGCTTCCCCATCTAAAGTGTTCGAGGTGAGTAAAACTGTCTGTTCTGTGCGAAGTTGTCCAGCAACACGGAGTGAGGTGGACAGCTTCTCTTCCGAGAAAGAGGCTTCCTCCCTCAGTCACTTGTTGCCATAGTCACGCCTCGAGGAGCATGTAAAGCAGGTTGAACTGTCTGTAGCTGCCATCTCAAGAGTTTTCTCTGCACTCCCTGCCATCCACCGACAATGACTACAATGCTGTCATGCCGATCCCTTCTCCTTCTTTTTTTCATCTAGTAATTAAGTCCACCTTCACCCACCAGCAAAATGCCACCTTCAGGTATTATATATGTATCTTGCTTTAGGAAGCAGTTGATCCAGTTCCAATAGTTGTAAAAAAAAAAAAATCAGTTATACAAAGCTTTCTGGAATAGAACAGCTACTTACACACTAGGGAAGGCCTAAATGATATATTTCACCTAATAAAAATCCATTCTCCTATAGTTTTTTTTTCCTTCCTCTTTTTTCTACACTCAGGTTAAAAATTGGAGTTGAAATGGGAAGGCAGGGAAAGTTATGGGTGCCCTCTCCTAAAGAGGTCCATCTGGTGGGATCAAGAAGGGGTGTCTCCATGATGGCTCCCTCCTTGTGGACCATCTTCCCTGTGAAGATAAAATTGATCCCAGTTGATACTCTTGTAAAGCCCTGAAGATATGGTTTTGCCATTGGGCCTGGGGACTCCAGAGTGACCTGAAGCCCATCAAGTGCCTGGTTAGATTGTTGTCACCAGAAGGGTGGGGGGTTGTTGCTTTTCTATCATTCTTGCAAGCTGCCTGGAGTCATTGAGAGTAGGTTGGGCAGCCATATAAATTTTCTTAAATAAAAATAAGTTAATAAAAAAATAGTCCTGAATTGGGTCTTCTGCTTAGTCCAAAGCAGAAGCACATGGGTCAATCTGATGCCTCTGGAGTACTCATAACTAAAAAATGAACACATTCGCTGTTCCACTGCAGCTTGTATTGGAAGCTATGTTGCATAATGGTTTGTGGGAATGGCCTTGGCAGATAAGGGGAAGAGATGCCACCTAGGAAATGATTAGATAAAAGAAGTGTGTGGGGGGGAGACCCACAACTGAGAAATGGGCAGAGAAAGAAATTTAGAAAAGATCCTATTTTATTTTATTTATTAGTTTGGTTCCATAACCCAACAAAACAGACACAGACTTCAGAGGATAATTAAAACTGCAGAAAAAAACAATTACTACCAACCTGCCTTGCATTGAGGACCTGTATACTGCACAAGTCAAAAGGAGGGCTGTGAAAATATTTACAGACCCCTTGCATCCTGAACATAAATTGTTTCAACTCCTACTCTCAAAACGACGCTATAGAGCACTGCACACCAGAACAACTAGACACAAGAACAGTTTTTTCCCGAATGGCATCACTCTACTAAACAAATAATTCCCTCAACACTGTCAAACTAGTTACTAAGTCTGCACTACTATTAATCTTCTCATCGTTCCTATCACTCATCTCCTCCCACTTATGACTGTATGACTGTAACCTTGTTGCTGGAATCCTTAAGATTTATATTGACTGTTTCCCTATGACTATCATTAAGTGTTGTACCTTATGATTCTTGACGAATATATCTTTTCTTTTATGTACTCTGAGAGTGTATGCACCAAGACAAATTCCTTGTGTGTCCAATCACACTTGGCCAATAAAGAATTCTATTCTATTATCATTTGGGAAAAAGAGACAGTGGGAAATTTGCACTTTCAGATTTGCAAGATTATGTTAATGTAGCCTTACGTTAATCTTAAATTGAATTTAGTCATCTGATTGTGTTTCATGTCTGGTCTACTTGGAAGGCTGACAGATGTCCTCCATGTGGAAGTAACATTGAGTTTTCCAGACTAGCTCTTGAGAGGCCTGTTCCCCATGAATTCACCCAATCTTCTTTCAAAGCTCCCCAAGTTAATGGTCACTATGTAATGTGGAAGTTGTTTCTACGGGTTAATTAGGAGCGCCTGAAGATGTGCTTCTCTCTGACTGTTCTGCATTTCCTTCCAATCAGTTTCATTAGTATTTTGAAAGAAGACAAAACAATTCTTGCTTGTTCACTTTCTTTATGACAAACAATGATGTTTTCCTCAGCCATCTCTTTTCTCAGCTAAAGATTATTCTGGTAAGAAAAGTGTTTGAGCCCTCTTATAAGTTTGATTCTCCTCTTCTATATTTTTTTCCAATTCTATTTTATCCTTTTCCAAACACGACGAGCAGAAACGTAGCCAGCCTTCAAGATGTGGATATATCACAGATTTATAGAACACCATTATAATCTACAAAAGGCAGTGTGGTGGGTCAGTTGTTAAGATACTGGGCTTGTTGGCTGGAAAACTGGCAGCCTGGGTTCGAGACCCGAGTGCCACACAATGGGGTGAGCTCCTGTTCTCTCCCTAGCTCCTGCCCACCTAGCATTTCAAAAGCATGCACATGTGAATAGATAAATAGGTACTACATTGGTAGGAATTTAACAATGGTCTATGACATCATGCTGGTCACATGACCATCAAAATGTCTGGACATCGCTGACTCAATGGCTCAATGGCCTTGAAATGGAGATGAGCACTGCCCCCTATAGTCAGCAATGACAAGCAGAGTAAAATCTGCAGGGATCCTCACTTTACCTTATTACAATCTACAAGGAAATCATGAAGTTTACTTTTGGGTGATTTATTATTGTCTTGCTTATTCAAATTGCAGGTACCAGAGGGGAATAAAACTGTACCACTGTAGGATACAATGGGCAAATACATGCTGAAACATAACTTTTTAAATCATTTTAATATAGACACTTTCAGAAGACAGTAAAATGCACAGTGTCAATTTTGGAGGATAAAGTATTTAAAGCTCATCAAAGTTACTTTGTCGGTACTTTGATATGAAATGATTTTCTTTATTTTTCATATTAGTCGCATAAATATTTTGAGAATGGGTCTAAAGAGCTTCATGTACATTGAGCGCACCAGGCCAACAGAGCGCAACAGAGAAAAGGAGAAAGATAATGATCTATTTTTTTTTTCTTTCATAGAGAGTTCCTGTTGCTAAGGAACCATTTCCTTTTATTTCCTTGCAGATTTTCTAACACGGGACCTCTTGGATAGTAAGAACCACAACGTGGTATCATATAGTGTAAAATGATACTCTATTACCTGGAAATTGGAATTTTAATAACACACCTGAGGGATTGAATACTTGCAACACTGGATGAACAGAACAAAACCAGTGAATGTGACTGCATATGGGTACAAGCACAAAATCACATTTTTCCCCTAGCCCTTTCTCTTCATCTCTGAGCCTACTACTAGTTGTCCTCAAGTAGTAGGATGTACCAGTAATTTTTAATTAGTAGTCATCATCACAATTGGTTTTTTTTTTAATTGAATCAGCAAGAAAGCTAAAATAAATGTATAAGAAAACATTTTACAGAAATGTTGTACAACATTTGGTTAATGAGTTTATATTTTACAGCTTAAGTTACCTTGTACTGTAGAGGTAGATATGAATAGACTTGAGGAAGGTATGCAGGAACAGTCAAGGTGAAATAAGACACCACTCAGTCCTGAGTATGTGATAAAAAAGAGAAAGAAGCTCAGATTAACCCCACCTTGAACCTGTGTGATAGAAGAGAAAGCAGAGTGAAATTCTGGTAGAGTTTCTGATAGATGCTGATATTATTCCTTGGAACAATAAAGTGACTTCCCTTAACAGAATAACAGCATAAGAATAGAATAGAATTCTTTATTGGCCAAGTGTGATTGGACACACAAGAAATTTGTCTGTGGTGTATAAGCTCTCAGTGTACACACAAGCAATAAGTGATAAATCACTATCATTATAATAAAATACAGTCATCATAATCATAAGATACAATACTCAGTGATAGTCATAGAAAACTAAATAGCAATCAACATAAATCATAATTGGATATTAAATAAAAACAACATAACCACAAGATACAAACAAATCATGACAGAAAGATAATAAATAGAAACAATCAACATAAATCATAAGATATAAACAACAAGTTATACTCATAAGAAGCTAAGGATATAGATAATAGGAAAGATGAGAAAGATAATAGTAATTCAGTCCAACTAGATTGTTCGACATCCCAGGGTATAAGACAGTGTTGTGGGAATCAGTTGTATAGCAGAGTGATGGGGGAGGGAGGACTGTCTTTGTGTCTGGTTGTTTTGGCGTGCAATACCATGTACCATTGTCTTGAGGGAAGAAGTTGAAACAATTTATGTGTCAGCTTCCAAGCTGCCATAAGGAGAGGAGAGGCTTGAACTTTCACCTACTTAATTCCCCTGAAGAACTGTCTCCACGGAGATGGGATTTGGGGGGGGGGGGCATTCCTGTGAACTGACGGAGATGGGATGACAAGAGTGGCTTGGAAGATGGCCAATGAGACACAGAGAATTGGGAACCAGAAAGGGAGGTTTTGGGGGGCCAAAGTTCAGTGCTAACTACGCATTGAGTCAGGGTCAGTTCATTATGCTCAATAAAGAGAAAAATTTCCTCAAAGATTGGACGTTTGGAAATTCATTTATTTGGAGATAACAACGAAGCTTGACATTATGTCCATTGGAAGGGACCTTGGGGGTCTTCTAGTCCAACCCCCTGCTCAAGCAGAAGACCCGGCCTTTACCATTTCAGACAAATGGCTGTTCAATCTCTTGTTAAAAACCTCCAGTGTTGGAGCGCCCACAATTTCTAGAGGCAAGTTGTTCCACTGATTAATTGTTCTAACTGTCAGGAAATTTCTCCTTAGTTCTACGTTTAGTCTCTCCTTGATTAGTTTCCACCCATTGCTTCTTGACCTGTGTTCAGGTGCTTTGGAGAATAGATTGGCACCCTCTTCTTTGTGGCAGCCTCTCAAATATCGGAACACTGCTATCATGTCACTCACTCCTAGTCCTTCTTTTCACTAGACTAGACATACCCAGTTCTTCATATGTTTTAGCTTCCAGTCCCCTAATCATTTTTGTTGCTCTTCTCTCCACTCTTTCTACAGTTTCAACATCCTTTTTTATATCATGACATCCAGGGGTGGGTTCTACTTACCTTTACTACCAGTTCGCAATGGGATCGCACGCATCCAAGTTCCATATTAAACAAACAGCACATTAGAAGTCTAGTTGGGAAAAAAGTGTGCTTTGATTTTGATTTTGTGTGGTCTTGTGAGTCTGGAAGGAATTTCCTGTGAAGGCTTACAGATAAGAACATTTTAATAGTTCAGTCACAATGCTTCCACAATAGGTTGGTCACTCAAAGCTTTCTTTTCTCCTTATTGATACATCGGTGGTAGAAGATCAGGGTCAGTTGTGAAAATATCAGGAAAGCTTCATTGTTACCTAATATCCTGTAGGGAAGAACCATTAAGAAGGGAGAAAAAGTGTCAGAAAAGAGCTTTAACCTTCCTGAATTGTGTATGTACACACACACACACACACACACACACACACACATATTAATCTCACCGGCTCAAGGTTGACTCAGTCTTCCATCCTTGTTGGGGAATGGATTGTTGGGGGCAATAGGCTGACTCTGTAAACCACTTAGAGAGGGCTGTAAAAGCACTATGAAGCAGTATATAAATCTAAGTGCTATTGCTATATATTTAAGAAGACACTCTTTCTTTCTTTCTTTCTTTCTTTCTTTCTTTCAACTCAGGAGAAAAGAAAGGATCATATCTGTTGTTTCTATTTCTGTAATCGTTATCAACATTTTTAATTTTTTTCAATTAAAAAAACCAAAACCCAATCTCTGAAGTAGAAGCAGAAAGAAATCCAGACACAGCCTTAGGTCCCAGTGATTGAAAGAGACTATCAGCAATTCAGTGAAATGCAAAGAATTTGATATCCATGGTGTTTCAGAAGTTAACTTCTATATACTCAGTATGTCATGAATCAGCTGAATTTGGAAGAGGATGGGGGCAGAGAAGAGGAATATTGCCACAAGAAATGCTATTCATTGAAGAAAGTTCATCTGTAGCAAAATAGTTCTAGTCTCTGGGTAACAAAGGGGCTGCTTCAAGATATGAATCACTAGGAAATAGGCAGACGTGGAAGTATAACATTTGGCACAAATTGAAGGGCAGGATCTGCGCTCAGGAGTACTTTTATATTTTTCTACTCTTTCCGGAACGTGGGGTTACATTTTGCTTAAAAGAGAAAGAGAGATTGACTAGAGGAGCCGTGAACTCTTGTACGCAGCTTCCGAGAAGTCATTTCCTTTGTGTTTAACGGGATTTTCTTTCAGGTAATCAAGGTTACCACACAGTCTTAAATGCTGGGAAAAGAATTAACTCTGTAGAGGAACCGAAGAATTATTTTTGACAGATTAGCATCTCTGTATCTATAGATCTTTCACCTCTTCACTCTAGTTGGAGAAGAAATTGGATTCTAAAGAAAGAAACACAATGAATGAACAACACATGGTGGACAACTGACTTGTAATTTCCCCCTTGTGAATAAAGCAGAGAGCATGTCCAAGGAATAAATGGGTTTGTTGTTTCCATCAGCAGTCCTCTGCTCCTAACCTCAGGCATCCTTTCCAGTGTAGTTCAGGCCATTTCCACACCACTGATTGTTTCAGATATTATCTCAGAAAGAACTATGCTGTAATTTCTTCCATACTTCAAAAGAGAGAACACAGTGTTGAATTAGACCACAACTCCTATCGCCTTCAATGTTTCCCTGCTTGGCAGTAGCACTTCTGATACTTTGGTTTGTTGGTGAGTCAGAATCAAATAAAGTCTGACTTTGAGTAGGTACTATGAGAAGGACAATAAAAATAACAAGATTCTTCTGAAGGGTTCCAGAAAGCCTTTGCTGGCTGACTGCGAATGGATGAAGAGCAAAGCTACTGTTCAGTTCTCTTCAACTTTTTTTTCTCAGATAGGAAATGAAAAAAAAAAAGTCTCCCACAAAGTCTATGGGCTCATGAGAGAGTTTAAGGAAAATAACCGAGCACGAAGACAGAGAAGTTCTTTCTGAAAGATGTTTTCCTCCTCAATTAAATCTTCTCATCTGCAATGGATGACTTTCAGCCGGTTGCACCCTCTCAACCCTAGGAAGCAGGCAGTGGCAAATCTCTTCCCCAATCTTGCCAAGAAAATTGTAGGGATGTCCAAGCAGTCCCCAGGAGTCAATGACTCAGAACCATACATATGGGGGGGGGGGAGAATACAATTCCCTATCCTATATACTTAACTTAGGCAGAGGAAAGTTCATAGATATAGATGATAGATAGATAGATAGATGATAGATAGATAGATAGATAGATAGATAGATAGATAGATAGATAGATAGATGTGGTGGGGTGGGGGGAGATGGTGTGTGTGTGTGTGTGTGTGTGTGTGTGTGTGTGTGTGTGTATCTCAGAGGTGAAATCCACTTACCTTTTCTATATAGATGGCCACTAACTTTCTTCTGGCATATTTTCATTCATCTGTAAAGGACCTGAAAGAAGTAATATATAACAACCTTTTCTCCATCTTTTCACTACAACAGTTTTTAAAAAAATAGATATATACTGTACTAACTCAGACAGTTTTAATACTTTTGCTAAGTTAGTTGCACCCACTTGCAGGAAATAAAATATAGAGGTCCCTCTCTATTAGTGTCCTATTAATTAGTCTGGATAATTTGGCAATCGAAATGAAAAAAAAAAGAATGCTCTCACCTGGTTTAAACATTATAGGTTGTTAATGGGTAGGGTGAAATTCTTGTAAGTTGGTTCCAGGAGTTTTACATTTGAAGGTTTAGTCTCTGGAGTCCAACAAAGGAATCACCTCTGTGGGAAGGCAAGCTTTAATCTCCTTTCCCTCTTTTCAAGTTGAAGTTTCCCTGGAGGCACACTGACTCAAGGCAGAACCTTTTGCTCCACCTACGAACATCACATATAGAAATGCGGCGGCTTTCTGATGGAGGGCACGAAAAATGTGGACGTCTCAAAGGCTCTGCAGTTCCAAAGATGCTCCGCTGGGACCTGCCCTTATCTAAAGCCACAATGCCAAATCTTTCTAACATGCTTGGTGTTTGCAACTATAACCTTAAATTAACACAGCTGTACCTGATTCAACCATTAATGACTCACACTAGGTATTGAATAGACTTGTATAACAGCACGCCAAGATGCTGCTGTGTATAGGAGCAATTCATTGGCATGCTCTCTGGAACATCTGCAAATAGTTTCAAGCATCT